TTGTTTATGATTTGAGGGCGAAATCAACTTCATCAAGCCAGTGTTTATATAGACAAACTTGAATAACCTGGGATTCAAAAGGCTTTGTAGTGATCAAAGCGATATGAAAAGTCATGGCTTTTTATTGAAATGAAAAGTCATGGCTTTTTATTGAAAGCTCTCCCAAGTGATAGCAAGCCAATTGTGATTCTACTCACTTTCAAGGGCGAAAAATAAGTAGGAAGTGACTTGCGGTTGCATTTCCTTGGGAGATGAGAGCTCCTTATATAGGCGAGCATCTCTAGGGGTGATACAAATAAGGAAATGACAAGATAGTGGTAAGACATGGGATGATTGGTGATTGTCGTGATACAAGCTATGTGGAGGAGAGATATGACCGGATCCGGTACTGCTGGATTTGGTCTTCTGGTCAGTGGATTTGTAGAACGGTACATGATTTGGGACGGATCTAGTAAGATCCGTTTACAAGTGATGAAGTACAGAAAATAAGAGAGAATAGAAAAGCATGAAAAGCACAATGACGCGCAGAAAGCGCGTATAATAAGAACAAGGAGAAAAGTCCAAATAAGGGAATCACACCATCCCCTCCATAAGAACGTAAACTTTCCAGTTTACGCTTTGTATTTCCCCTTGATTGTTTGCGAGAGTTCTTTGGTTCCCTTCTCGCTTAGGGAGACCATTGGGTCTGAGAAGTCGGTCAGGAATTCATCTGAAGCCCTTCCCATAACTGTCTCAAAGGCTTGAAGGCAGATGATTAGATGACCCATTGTGTTGTTTTCCAGCGGCCTTATCTCGCTGGTGAAGTCTGCTAGAGGCGAAGTAAAATTTGTTGGTAGATCCTTCAAATTTTTTCAAACGGCAGCCATTGACCTTAGCTTTCAAAACGTGTCCATTGGAGGTCATGAGGGTGAATGTACCGTGGGTATCTGCGTCTTGTATGATAAACGGTCCGTCCCATTTGGGATGGAGTTTGGACGGTTGTCCTTCGAATTGCCGGAGAACTTTGTCTCCCGGCCGGAAATTACGTTCTGTGTATGATTCTTCTTGCGTCACAGACCTTTCTTGTGCTTTCTGATCGAGGTCGTTGATGAGATCTTGTCGCCTCGATTCTAGTTTGTTGACTGCTAAGTTTTGTTGTCGGTGTATTAGCTCAAGATTCTCAAGTGAGTTATTGAATTTAATGCTTACAGCCTCAGAGGGTAACCTAGCTTCTTCTCCGTACGCCATGTAGAAAGGAGAGGCTTTCATGGAGTGAGAAAAAGATGCACGGTATGCAAACAAACAAGTATTAAGAAAGTTGTCCCACAAGTTTTGGTTGTATGGGCTACAAAACCTCCAAAGGCCATTGGTCAACGTTCCATGGAACCTTTCATCCAATCCGTTTGTCTGCGGGTGGTAAGGCGAGGTATTCTTTTGTTTGATGTTGCTGTCTTTGAGGTAGGATTTGAAATTGTGGGAAATGAATTCGGAACCGTTATCGGTAATAATTTATTCAGGTAACCCGTGGTTCAGAGTGATTTCTTTGACAAGGGCAACTGCGGCATCTGAAGAAGTTGAGCGGAGGGCTTTAGCGTAGGCCCAACCAGTGCCATAATCTATATGGCGGTAATGATATATTGGTTTCCTTCAGGGGTCTTTGGTAATGGACCGACAAAGTCCATTCCCCACTTCCTGAAGGGTTACCCACGGGCCAAGTATTGGAGGGGCATACCTTGTTCTCCAGAGGGTGCTGCGTGTACTTGGCAAGCCCTGCACAGGTCAATCACACTTTTGACGGCGTTAAGGATGTCAGGGAACCAATACTTATTCTTGACAGCTTGGACGACGTCTTTGTAGTTGCGGTGGCCAAGGTCTTCGTGAACTCGGTAACAGATTTTCTCGGCCTCACGGCGGCTAGTTGGCACCGTGAGTTGTTCTAAATGCGGATCTTCTAAACATATCTTGATCATTTGGTTTCCGTCTAATATAAAGTCGCCGGCTCCTACCAAGGTCGGGTCCATTCCTGACTGAAGTTGTAATTTGTTCTTGAGAAGTTCTCGATACTCGGCTTCAAAGTTGTGGATGGTGAATAGGGAAGGAGCGGTCTCTGGGGGGTCTAAGTCAAACTCTGTGTTTGGTTTTCAAGAGAGGGAGTCGGCAGCTAACTGTTCCTTACCGGGTCTGTAAACAATGTTGGTATCGAAAAATTCCAATTCATCTACAAATTGAGCAAGCCTTCTGTTAATATGCTTCTGAGTCTTAAAATATTTAAGAGACTCATGATCAGTTCGGAATAATACGGGCGAACCTTCAACGTAGCCACGGAAGTGTTTAAGTCCATGAATAACAGCTAATAATTCACGCTCTTGAGCCTAATAATTCTGTTCAGTTTTTGAGAGTTTGCGGGATTCAAATGCAATTGGGCGTAAGTTAGAATCTTTTAGTTTCTTCTGGTATAAGTTGCAATCAAAGCTTACACCTTTGGGTACTTCGAAATCGGTATCTTGTTAGAGGACGGCGCCAATGTTGGTTCCGGAAGCATCCGTGTCTAACACAAAGGGCTTGAATGGTTCAGGGTGCTGGAGAGGGACGGTATTGCAGAGACAATCCTTGAGCTTTTCGAAGGCGGATTTCTCTTCATCCCCCCACAGAATTGAAGACCCAGGCTTGGGAGATCCTTCCGTCAATTTGTAAAGAGGGGACGCAACAGAGGAAAACTTTAAGATAAATCATTTATAATATGTGCATAAGTTCAAGAATCCCCGTACTTGGGAGATATTGGTCGGGGTAGGCCACTCAACTATCTTCCTGATCTTTTCAGGATTCGTCTTGATGCCGTTTCCATCTACTACGTGTCCTAGGAATAACAGCGAAGATTTGCCAAATTTACATTTCTTCCCAGAAACGACTAAACCTTCTTTCTTGAGGATCTCGAAGATAGATTTGATGTGCAATTTGTGTTCTTCTTTGGTTTTTGAGTAAACTATAACATCATCTAAATAAACCAATGCGAACTTATCAATAATATCCTTTAACATGGTGTTCATCATTTCTTGGAACATTGCAGGAGCATTGCACAGCCCAAAGGGCATCACTTTCCACTGATAGTGGCCAAACCTACAGGTGAAAGCTGTCTTTTCCTTATCCGCTCCATTCATTGGCACCTGCCAAAAACCGGATTTCAAGTCGATGGTAGAGAAATACTTAGAGCCAGACAGGAATAAATAAGCATTGTCAATGCGTGGAAGGGGATAAGCGTTTTTTCTTGTCACTTTATTCAGTGCTCGATAATCAACACATACCCTGTTTGAGCCGTTGGGTTTCTTTACCAAAAGTAGTGGCAAACTCCATGGTGAATCGGAAGGCTCAATGATGCCTTGTTCCAGGCTTTCTTCTACAAATTGTTTAATTATTGCATGTTCGGGTGGAGTATGAGGTCTTCCGTGAGTTTTAATTGGTCGTGCGTCTCCTGTGTCAATGTGGTGTTGGTACTTACTGTTCACAGTTGAGATCTCTTCCTTCCAGGATTCCGGTGCCACCTGCTTAGCCAGACGTTCTAGCAGGTCACCATACGAGGCATTGTCTATAGTGAAAAGTTTGGGCTCGTATGATCTTGGCCTGATGACAAATCCATTATTGACAATATAATTTCTGGTGGTATAGTTCACAAGTGGACTAGTCTCTTGTAACCATGGTAGACCAAGAATGAGGGAGATGTTAGGAAGAGGGAGCATGAAGGCCTTGATGTTACCACTACACCAAATTGCAAATTTACCGTGGAGTTTAGAAAATTGAGTAGACATAGAAAATTATAGAGAAGCTGGCAAGGGTGAGAGGAATATGAAAAAATAATGGGGGGGGCCTTTGATGCATTCCAATTGTCTGGCATATTTTTTCATATTTTTAAAACCACAATGCATATAAAACTACACAAAATATAATATCTTCTGGGCAGAAAATATAAAAACCCACAAACAGAGATATTGAGCAGTCTTGGAGAGAGGCAAAAATACACAAAAATATGCATATTGTTCCTATGGTTGAGGCCTTGGATTTGAGTATTTTTTTGTATTCTTAGCGTGCAAATTGTTGATTGTACTAACCAAAAACCTCCAAGTTTCTCAGATTACAACCTGTAACAGAGATTGGAATTTGGCCAAGGGGTGACAAGGGGATATCTGGAATCCTATATCCCTCATATCTTTTGCAATTCTGGGTCAAAACACTTGATAGTTAGTTTATTAGGAAGCCATGAAATGCATTTGAATGTTATGTTAATGCATCAAATGTGTAGCTCCGCTACAAAAAAAGCTATTTGTCTTTGAAACAATTTCCTATGTAGCCACATACATATTCTTTGGAATCAGATTCAGGTTTTTTGTCTGAATGAAAGATTCAGTCACAGAGTTTGGCTTGTCAATGAACAAAAAATCAAGTGGTTTGACCAAGAATTGACAAAAATATAAGGGATTGTTGAATTCAAATTATTCCCTCCAATGTCTGTTACAGGTTGTAATCTAACAATCCTGGAGGTTTTTGTTAGTACAATCAACAATTCTCACACTAAAAATACAAAAAAATACTCAAATCCAAGGCCTCAGCCATAGGAACAATATGCATATTTTTGTGTATTTTTGCCTCTCTCCAAGACTGCTCAATATCTCTGTTTGTTGGTTTTTATATTTTCTGCCCAGAAGATATTATATTTTGTGTAGTTTTATATGCATTGTGGTTTTAAAAATATGAAAAAATATGCCAGACAATTGGAATGCATCAAAGGGCCCTCCCATTATTTTTTCATATTTTTCTGACCCTTGCCAGGTTCTCTATAGTTTTCTATGTCTACTCAATTTTCTAAACTCCACGGTAAATTTGCAATTTGGCGTAGTGTACAGTTGAACGTGGCCATGCTACGGTCATCTTTGAATTCCAGTTCGAATAGAGCGATCTTAGTGCAGGCTTCTTCTGCTCCGTTGGCAAGTCGGACCCCTTGCCTATCGACTGTTTTGATATCGATCTTATCAGGGCACAACTGTTTCATTTTATCCACGCGCTCTGTTGAAATATAGTTAGCAGCCGCACCGCTATCAATGATTGCATCCAGAGGGATATTGCGAAATAAGCAAGGATAGATGGGAAGGGAAGTTCTGCTGGTTTCTTCATGTGAGGCGAGGTCTAAGTGTGCTCCATAGTAGATCTTCTTCATGGAGCAAGGGGCCATTTCAACAACTGATAGATCAAGAGATTTAGTGACTAGCCCAGGCAGGTTAACGGCCTGTGGCTTCATGTCTTCATAGTCAGTTATGTCTGATCCTGCATCAATAAGTTCACCTGTTGATGCTACTGCCGCAATACTAGATTCATCGTCATCAGGTGTACATACTGAGTCGAATTTGTCTCTATCGGCCCAGCTAGTGTACAAAGTGTTGAGGATATGATTCCACTCTTCAACGCTCGCGAGTTCTCTTTCTGCTAATTTGACTGCGTCGGGGAAGCTAGGAGGGGAAGGAGTTTGAGCGGTGGTATATTGATAACCGTCGATAAGAGAGCGTCCTAGTTTCATCTTCTTCTCGGGGTTTAACTCAAGAGCCTTCTCAATGTCCATGTAGTACATGTCATACTTGTTTTCTGGATCGTGTGCAGGGATTTGCTCGACGGGGGAATCTTCTCTTGCAGGCCGCTTATTGTTGACATTGTTGATTTGTTGGGCATCTAATGTGAAGAACACAATGCCGTTAGAAGTTGTTGGTGGACTTTGTTCATTTCCATAAGCCGTGCAAGACTTACAGCATCTGTAGTCTTTAGCATCTTTTAAGACTCGTACGACTGCTTCTCTTTCTTTTTGTAAGTCAATTAAAGTTTCCGGATCAATGTTGTTTAAGGCTTCAAGATAGTTCTTCTTATACTCTCCAAGGTCTTCTCGACGGTCCTTGGTAGGTCCATCAAGTGATTCTGAATATTCCTTTGAGGCTCGATACATTCGTCCATCGGCATCAGAGAACGGTGTAATAAAAGGTTCTTCCGTCTTCAGCTTGTGATCTTGGAACAGTGGTATAAAGGAGTGAAGAGGGTCGGGGATTTTCAAAGAGGAAGAGAGTAAATGATCCATGATTAGTAGGTTAGGTTTACGACGATCAGAGTTGTTATTGAAACGGTTCTTTGATCCATTATAGGATTTCTTTTTGTTTCCTCGAGGGCACTTGTCAGCCATGTGTCCTTTATTGTGACAATTATAGCACTCGACATTAGTTAAATCAACAGAGTCCAGGTCCATCGGGCCAGAGCCGTTAGTGACTGCGTGCGGTTTACCAAAAGAGCTAGATTGTCAAGATTGATAGTTGCGGTTGAAATTGAATTGATGATTTCTGGTCGTAACCTTTGAAATTTCTGTTATTTATCTTGACTGTGTGTTCCGCTTCTCTCGCAGCCGCGTATAATAACTCCATGTCCTTCTTTGACCTGATACCTTCTTTATTGTTTATCTTTTCTCTATAGTGAGCAGGGAGTTTATCCATAAATTTAAACTTGCGTGATTCAAAGGTGAGGACTTCTAAAGGCATGTATGCCATTAAGCGACGAAATCTGAGTATATAATCATTGAAGTCGCCTTTATAATAACATACTTTGATCTTCTCCATGATTTCTTTGACCATCATGTTGAAGTTATATTGTCCTAGGAACTGTTCTTTGAAACTTTGATGATTGGTGACGGCTCCTCCTTGAGACTTGCGAACCTCGTGCCAGAACATATGAGTTTCTTCGTCGAGGTAAGATCCTAACATCTCACCCCAAGAGGCTTCAGGGTATCTATGCATCTTGAAGTTTGATTCTAACTCGGAGAACCAGAGAGTGGGATTATCACCATAACCAGTGAACTTTCTAGGCTCGGCGCGAAAGGCGTCGGGCTTGGTTGGAGCTGGGGTTTGGTTGCGTTTATGGAGTAGGTTCTCAAGGTGGCCGATTTGGTTAGACTGTTGTTGGAATACATTTTGATTTTGTTGGCGGAGATCAGCAATTTCTCGAGCATGATTCTGTTCACGTTGATGTAACTTGTTACCAAATTGCTCGAGTTGGGCTTGGATTAAGCGAAGATCTTTGGCAGGAATTTGAACGAATCCATTGGGGTCCTCCATCTTAGGTGCTATGCTGTTCGTAAAGGTTTTGTTTTTTTAAGAGTGAGAAGGAATTAAAACTTTGTTCTTTAAAGGGTAGACTTGATCAGAGTCTAAAAACTACGTACGTGGATTCTTCAAAAAGAATGTTAAGGGATTCAAAAATCGAATGGGCTAAAAAGCACGATAAAAGGTTTCGAAAAACAGTGACAAGGTTGTTAACGGTTTGTAAGGTGTTTGTAGGTGGTTCTGTGTGTAAGGGAAAAAGAATTTCTTTAATACTTCTAACTAATCAAGGGAAGAGTGTTGTAAGGGATTGGAATAGCTAGCTAAGAAATTCCAAAAGACTTACAAAAAACAAGGAAGTTGGTGCGAGGGTTTGTAGGCTTTGTAGTTGTTGTTTCCGATATGGATATCTGAGTTGGAATTCGAGGAATTCCAAAGTTAGGGGAACAAACAGAAGCACGGATTAATGTTATTGAACTCTTTTGATATCAATTTTTAGGTGATTGGAAGTTAGAGAGGAAAAAAGAAAATAGTGAAACACACAAATAATTATTTGTGATTCTACTCACTTTCAAGGGCGAAAAATAAGTAGGAAGTGACTTGCGCTTGCATTTCCTTGGGAGATGAGAGCTCCTTATATAGGCGAGCATCTCTAGAGGTGATACAAATAAGGAAATGACAAGATAGTGGTAAGACATGGGACGATCGGTGATTGTCGTGATACAAGCTATGTGGAGGAGAGATATGACCGGATCCGGTACTGCTGGATTCGGTCTTCTGGTCAGTGGATTTGTAGAACGGTACATGATTTGGGACGGATCTAGTAAGATCCGTTTACGAGTGATGAAGTACAGAAAATAAGAGAGAATAGAAAAGCATGAAAAGCACAATGACGTGCAGAAAGCGCGTATAATAAGAACAAGGAGAAAAGTCCAAATAAGGGAATCACACAATGCTGTTTCTTTAAAGCTCTCTGAAACAATTGCAAGTCAATGCTTTTTCTTTTGATTGAAAGCTCTCTGATGCGATTGAAATCCAATTTGCACAAATCAGAGCTTGCTGATCAAAAGTACCCAAACCCATATTGAGCAAGGCATGAATGCAGTTCATTCTGGTGCTTTCAGCACAGAGCAAATGCTTTCAACACAAAGCATCTCGAAAGCATTAAAAAGAGTAATTAGAAATCTTAGAGAAGAAATGACATGAATCATCATTGAATAATGTTATGTTTCCTCCGAGTAAGATATGTGTTGTGGACTTTGAGAGAAAACAAAGCAAACACAATGAAAATCTTCCCATGAATATGAACACAGGCTCTCATTTGATGTCTTTATAAATAAAAGCCTTATTGGATTGGCATGCTCATGTTGGTGAAAAATTAATCAGATGACGCTGAAGAGTGTTCATCATTTCACAGATGAATGACATGTGTCACCAAGACACATGTCACCAAAATCAGTCTACTGGCTCATCTCAATTCAGAACTTTCTTCCTTATCGTTAATTTCTTTTTTATTTCCATCTTCACTTATTTTTCATCACAATAAGCTCACCTCCTCTGCAAACAATTCTCACTAAATCAAGTTTCAATGCGTCAAGCACTTTACAATCCACTTCTGCCAAGATCTGATCAACAATCGGGTAAACAGGCCACTCATGAGGAACCATCAAAAGAACGCACTCAAAACCGCAAACGTTTGGATGACTTGGCTGACCACAGAAAGAAATCTTGTGTGTCCCATACACCACCTGAACGCCCATCCCAAGGCGGCATCCAACCACAAGATCTTGAGAAGTTTAATCAATCAGATGAGTGTAAGTTTTTGACCTGTGCTGCTGAAACTTCAACATTTATTTTCTTTGACCCTTGTTACCAGCTGATCATCAGTCCTCTGCAGATCGCCAACACAAAATTGTTGGAAAGTCCAAGAGACAAAATAATTGTAAGTCTTATTTAACTGTGACATACCAACTCAATTGTAAATATGTATGCTAATTGACCTTTGTTTTTGAAACAGTGAACATCAATGAAGTGAACGGTTCTCAAGATGAAGACTTTGAACAAAGCAATAAAGATGATGAATACAATGAAGACAATGAAGACTACAAAGGCTACAAGGACGGTGAAGAAGATGAAGACTACAAAGGCTACAAGATGATGAAGACCATGAGAACGATGAAGACCAAGAAAACGATGAAGATGATGAAGATGATGAAGAAAATGAAGACAACAAAAAAACCCAAAAAAACAATAAAAACAATAACAACAAAATAGCCAAAACCCGAAGACCTGTTGCTCAAACAAAGTCTCATAACAGAAGCCTCCCTTCCGAATCATCCTTGATTTTGACCCACATGACTGGACCAGCATTACAAACATTCAATTGACTATCAAGTCGTGCTCAACTTGATGAGGATCATCAGGTAATGGGACGTAAACTGTGCAATGTAAGTTCTTCAAATTGATTTGCTTTTCTTTCAGCTGACTGATATTATTTCTTTATTTACAGGAAGAAACTCCTCAAAGCCAATTCATGGCGCTCATGGTTTCTAACATCGTGACTCATCAAGAGATGACTGACATACATAGGGAGCTTGCTGAAGTAGAAGATACTGTCAAGCAGCTCTCATCTCACCGTAATCGTGGGACTTTTGATGATACTAATCAAACACTCAGGGCAAGTGATGTTTTGCACTTTCACAGCTCTGTCAATTTAGGTATATTGACTATTCTCATGAAAAATCCTAACAGTGTGCTATTAAGTCAAATGCGATCAAAAACATACTGCAAGGAGACATTCAAGCTTACACTTCACTTGAAGACAAAGAAGGCGATCAGGACCAACTTCCCCATTCCTTGTATGCGAGGACCTTGGTAAGTCTCTTTGTACGTCTCATATATTGCTCTATATTGTTAATGTTATTTTTTGTTGTAGAATGCAATGCTTGCCTATCCTAAAACATGGAAGAAACAATACCTACCTGCTGATTATGGAAAGAATGCTGATTCGGGAGATGCAACACTTTTTCATCAGTTGATCAGGACTGTGTTGAAAGAAGCGCGAAAAGAATTCAAGGATATTGTAAGTTATTACATTATAACATTTCATTTATCTAAGTATCTTGACGCTATTCTTATACTGTTATACTGCTATATTTATCTTTCACAGCTTCTTACCAATATTCAACTTTCAAAGCAAGGTAGTTTGCCATGCAAATCAAACGTACCAATAATTGACAGTATTTGGGTCAAGGTAAGTTAATCTGCCATGTGGTTCAAAGTTTTTCGTCTTTGACTGATAAGCTGCCTTTTACTGAAACAAATAGCTTTATAAAAAGGAGCATGGGAAAGTCGGTGGGGACATAAAGCCCCGGGAGGATATTGTCAAGGAGCTCACCCATCTCCAGAGTACCCAATATGCATTTCTTGTAAGTCAATGTTCTGTGATATTCTTTTCTGTTGACTAATACTGTATTACTCAGGGAATGCAAGCTTGTCATTTGGGCTTAAATCCACTGGAATACCACAGCAAAAGTGTTTGGGCTGTCATGGACAAAAAACTGGAGTTCTTGCGAAGTCAAACAACAAGATATTGTCATGCGTAAGTGGTATTTATTTTTCCTGTTCAATTTGGCTTTGAGAATCTATTAACGGATTGTGTGTTAAAACAACCAGATACTTCTTTCTATGTTTACAATTGGATCATCATCGATTTGATGGTCAGAAAACATTTGAAGAACTCAACAATACCACCAATTTCTCATTACCTAATGAGACTTCCGTACGTGATATGATGAATGAGCTTGATGAAACTTTTGGAACTGGTTTAGCCAACTATGAGGATCTTTATGAAAACCCTGAGGATTAGACAACTTAAGCTCTTTCTGTCATTTTCACCGCAATTATCTTGGCTGTTGTCTCAGGTAGTTGAGAAGTTTTTTTGATTGTGTCTCAGTATATTTTTAGCTTTCCAACTTTATTTTACTTCTTTCAAGTCGCAAGCAGTTTATCATTCTCATTCTGATTAATCTGCCAATACTTGAGGCCCTCGGTTCATCAGGTGTATCTTTATCTCGTTTCTTACACACACAGCTCTCACTTGTATCATTGATTTCTTTTGTAGCTCTTGTCATTTTTTTCTTAGCACTATTTATCAGTGAAATCAATGGCTCAGCATGATCTTTCTCATCAAGGTGAACATTGTGAGACAGAGAGAAATTTGTCCATCATGATATAATGGCTGTGTTTCATCAGGTTCTCAACTACTTGAGAACGGTTGAACAACAGACAGGGGTACTGCGAGTCAACTTGACTTGAGCAGTACAACTGGGTAGTTTCCCGCTGAACCTCGGGTTTTTCTCCGCTTGAACCCGGCGGAAAAACCGGACAAAAATCCCCATTGCAGCACGGTTTGGAAGAGCCCGTTGAAAAAAGGTTCTTCCCCCAGCCAAGAAAAACCGGAAATCAACCGGGGAAAAGTCTGGTTGGTCAACCGGAATAGTGACCTGGTGGTGTACCTTTTAAAAGGTACGAACTTTCCGACCCCGGAAAGTCGATTTTCATTTTAAACAAAAGCTATATTTCATTCGGTAGTCAAAAGCAGAAAAGCTTGTTGACCATTTGAAATTCAACTTAATTTTTTAAATCATCCATCTTCTCCGTTCTTCTCAGTCATCACAATATCAAACCATCACATTTTTAACATCAGCGCACATGTTTGATTCCTCCGCATCTTGGGCGGAATTAGATGAAATCCTTGAACCTTCATCATCCGAGGGAAGTAACCCAGTAGATTGTGATCAAGAAATCATCAATTTGTTACTGGCAGCTGCTCTTGACCGTGCCGAGCTAGCACAGCGACCAAAGATACCATGTCAAACTTCCGCTTTATGTGGCCACGTATACGAACAAGAAATCATAGCCGGTAGTCCAGTTAGATTTTGTGATGTATGCCGCATGGATCGAGTTACTTTCTACAAACTTCATATTACATTGAGGCCGTATCTAGAGAATACGATCCACACAACAGCGGTCAAGCAGCTTATGATATTCCTTTACATTGTTGGAAATGCCGGTTCTACCGTTCTCACTGCCGAGCGCTTCCAACACTTGGGAGAAACAATCTCTAGATACTACAACAAAGGTGTATCGGCTCTGGTAGACTTGAAAGATGAATTTATCGAACAACCTGGCCCAGAATTCCCAATACCTGATGTTATTACCTCAAGTGCACGTTTTCGGTCCATGGTTTAACAGCTGTATTGGAGCAATTGATGGTACTCACATACCAGCAAGTGTTCCAGAACAAGATAAAGCTGCTTATCAAAATCAAAAGGGTATATTGAGTCAAAATGTACTCGCCGGATGCCGTTTCAATATGTCATTCAACTTTGTAATGGCCGGCTTTGAAGGGAGCAGTAGTGATGCTCAAGTTCTTGAAGTCGCCAGGCAGGATGGTGCCTTTGTAGTACCAGCTGGTGAGTCTTGGAATAAACTTCACATTTGTATTTTTGCTGACTTTTTGAGTACAGGACAATATTATTTAGTGGATGCCGGCTATGCTAACAAGCCCGGTTTTCTCGCACCTTTCAGAGGTGTTAGATATCATATCAAAGAGTGGGCGGAAGGGAATCAAGGCCCTGTGAATGATCAAGAGCTATTCAACAAACACCATTCTGGGCTTCAAGCACAGGGGCAAAAATCGATGCTCACAACTATGTGAGCGTTGAAATTTTTGTGTTTTTCTCTATGTTTGTTCCCTTTTCTTTCCATTTTCTTTCCCTTTTCTTTCCCTTTTCTTTCTGCTTGTCAGCTCATTATGTGATCAACAGGAACTGAGGAGATGAATCAGGGCTCCCTCAGGCAACATTCCTTAGCAAAGAATCCTGAGGGAGGGCTAGCCCATCTGCTCACTTCATCTAAGCCCCTCAGCTCATCCTCAGCAACATCCCTTGATGCCTGATGATCCAGGGGACACCTGTGGCTGGCTGGGCTTTTGTCAAGCTAGCCTTGTGTTGGGTTTTGCCAACGCAGCCACAGTTACTGTATTGGTAAAGCATTGTCAATACTAGTACAGTACCTGGCTTTTTGGATACTACAAATGAAGGTACTTGGTACAGTACCTTGCACCAGGTACAGTACTCCGTACAGTACCTACAATCTAGGTACTGTAAAAAATGCCCAGCAGTAAAGTAACTTTGTGTTCTGCTAGGTACTGTACTATACTGGTATCTCAGGTTTGCAGATAGGTACTGTACTTTACCGTACCTACGGCACGTACTGCCCAGTATCTCACCATACCTTGAGTTGGTACCCAGCACATTGGGTGTATTGAAAGGCTTAAGAAATGATAACTAAGTTGCTTATTTATATATAAATCATTGATTAGGTAATAAATATCAGTAGAGAGTGAAACTGAAAACAAAAATACTAATATAGTGCTGGGAGGAAAGGGGATTGATCAAGAAAATCAAAAATACAGGTACTGTTGACTACTGTACCAGTATAGTACCTATATTTTAGGTACTGGCAGGGCCGGTACCGGTATCGTACCTTCCGCGGCTGGAAAGTTAAACCAGTCAATGTTGAGTTTATGGTCAGTGGTCATAGTATGGATGGTCTTAGAGAAGCTCCATTGGAAATCAAAGGTGAAGACGTTTATAAAAGGATGCGATGGGAGGCAGGTGTACATTGCGTACAATGTGTACCTGTGATGCAAAACACAAGTTTGGTTCACACTAGTACAGCTGCAGTTATTGTTTGAGGGTTGTTTTTGTTCTTCATCAATTTTCTTAAATAAATTACACTAGAGTACACGCAGCTGAATGATATGATGATCTGATTCTATCACAAGGGCTCTTCCGTTTCTTCTCTCTGAACAGGTCTTAGCTTTTGATCCTGGAAATCAAGACAGGCAAGAAGAGGCCTTATTTGAAGATAAGGATGTAAGAACAGAGACCATGAGATCACAGGGTGTTGGTGGTCAAGTTGAGTTTTAATGCAAAAACTCTTTCTCAATTTCTCTGGACCTGACCAATTTCGAGCTTCCTTCTTGTAGCATGTCAACAAGACTGAATCAGTGGTCCGATTGACACATGTTCCGAACTGGAATTGTTGTCTTGATGCAAGACTCACAATTGCAACATCAGGCATGCAAGTACCTTGATCTCATATCCATTGAATGTCATGCATGCTAAGTTTCCTTTGAACAGAATTGAGCCAGAGTATTCATGATCCTAAGAGCGATATTATCAGATCTAAGAAATCAACAAAAGCAAGTTGAAGAGCGTGGCCTTAGACTCTTGCAAGTCAAAACCTCTGATTGAGATCAAAAGATTTGGACATACAATTTTCAGCAGATTGAGTGATCAAGTTTTGTTAATTTGAAGTGGACCTTCAACGGAGTTGATTTGTGTTTTCCAGGGACGAGTCACAGATCATAGGATTGGGTTAACTTTACCCAGGCTACATTATGTGATGGAGGGTGATGAAACTTTGGAGTCAATCTGGATGTGATTAGCAGAGGATGGATTGAAGCAATCAATCAAAAGCCTCCTAGAGGGGTCTCCCCAATAGCCACCGTAGATCTCAATAAACACTGTAGAGAAATCATTCCTTTGTAGAGAAATCATTCCTTCACCTCGAGTCCAAGTATAACCACTGTGAACAGCAAATTTAAAAGACTCAGCACAGATTGTGATTGCATTGATTGAGATATTTGAAGTTTATTCCACAAATGATGTCTCTAAATATGTTGGATACCGTCTTCTGGTGCAATGATGTTTGTGATTTGTTACTCGGTCATATCATTGCAATTCATTTCATTTGTGTATCATGGCTAGTCACAACTTCAAGCTCACTTTTAAAACAAATACATATTCACAAACATCAAACGACTAGAGGAAAACTCCAAAGAAAAATGAGATTAAGCAAACAAAAATCACTAGTTGGTTGTAGACGTGAAGAAAGGAGAAGGGAAATCTTACCAACGTTGAAAATGATCGTATACAAACTAACAAAAAAAACAGCCAAAATCGAAATGTTGAAGGTATAAGAAACAAAGCTATGATGATGATGCTTAGTGGATCAGTTGTAAAAATTAAATAAAATACACACCTACATCAAGGGTCCAGATCGATTTGATAAAGTCAGCATAGCTTTGATTTCAGGGTAGAGACTTAATATAAACAATAACTTACTTACATATGGACATGCAAGATCTGAATTGAAAGATTGAAATAGAAATTGAAGTTTATACAAAACTATAGAACCTAGAAAAGGAGAAAAAAGATTGAGTTAGTGTCAGTACAGTTGAAGAAGATCTAAAGAAAATGAAGAGATGAAAGAAACAATGACGTACCTAAACAAAAGGAACGATCGATCGACCTAGAAGTGCAGGTATCAACAAAACAAAACAAGAAGTCTAAAACCAAAGATCGAGATGAGAATATCAAGATTGAGATCGAGTGTGGTGGAGGCTTAGAGTTGAGACAGAATGAAAGATCCGATGAAGGGAGGAGTTGAAGGTTGAGAACCTAGAAACAATCACATAGAAAGTAAAAAAAAGAAAGAAGATAAAGTTAGCTTCAAGAACAATAAAAGAGATTAGTAAAGTAGAGAATCCTTACCTAAAGACAAATATCGAGATTGATCGGTCAGATCTCAAAAGCAAACAGTAAAATAAAAGTAAAAGATAGGTGTTAGTGTTACAAAAGAATGGGAAAATGAAGTGTGATAAGGAAAGGGGGACTGACCTACGGGTGCACACAGTAAAACTTAATTGAAGGTCCTATACAGTGGTGAATTGAGGGACTGGGCGGCTGGAGGCAAGAGAGCGAGAGAAGGAAATGGAAGGCTGAGGTGAGGGTAGGCGAGTTCGAAATAATACAAATAGAAGGGAGTTCGTGGGTTGTTGATTATTAGGTTTGTGGGTTCCGGGCTTTTTTATTTAGTGTTCGTTCGTGTGTGTTCTTGAGTGTCAGAGTGTTTGTGTTAAAGTGTGTTAGTGTGTTGGAGTTGTGATCGAGTTCTTGAGTGTTATAAGTGTTAGAATTGTGAGCCTAAAAGTGTCGAGAAGAAGACAAGAAAGGAATAGTCATAGTTAGTTTAAATCAAGGTGTTCAATCTAGAGTCAAAAACAAAGAAAAGTCTTACTTTTAAGAGTGTTGCGGCCTTCATGTCTTTATTTTGTTGTTGTGAGTTGTTTGCTGAGCTGTGTTGTGAGCTGGTTGTCAGATTGTTGAAAAGAAAGTAAAGTCAACGTCAAACTCAAGTCGATTTTGTCAAACTTGTGCCTCTTGATCCAATTTGAGGCCGGGTTGAGCGGGTCCTGGAATTCAACACCAGACCTGTAATCACAGAATTTGAGCCGGGTTCCAGCTGTGATTCTTGGGTACCCCGCAAACCAAATTTCAACAAAAGCGGGGTAAATTTGTGTTGTACAAAAAAAATGAGTTTGTTTCCATCTTGGAGAGGTTCTGAGCTGTTCTGAGTATGCCTCATGAGCAGATCCTGAATACTCATCTCAGAGACTGAGCCTAAAGCATGCTCATCCATGATGGAAATGAGCATTCTCCAGCAACACCAAGCAAAATCTGAGCAAAACAGCCTGATTGCCTGAACACTACCAAACTCATGAATTGAATGATTCTGAAACAAAATGAATCTTTTTTGGAGACTTCAGGAAAGTCTACAACGCTCACATAGTTGTGAGCATCAATTTTGGCCCCTGTGAAGGATGTATTGAGCGGACATTTGGGGTCACAAAGATGCCGTTTCTGTGTACACGTTTTATGAGAAAATATCCCATCGAACGACAGGGCGACCTTGTTGTAGCGCTGTGTGTACTTCAAAACATTGTATTACCAGGGGGAGAGGACAATTTCTTTGAGGAGTTTGATCAAGATCAAGATGCCCGTGATCAAAATCTCGCCAATTGAGATTTTGAACACTTTGAGGTTGCTACTGTAGCAGATAGAGAAAACGCAGATCGTGATTGTTTGCTTTCGGCTGATTGTACGTGGGAAGATTATGTCGCTCAAGGCCAACATTGATAAGCAGCATAAATGTAATTTTTTTATTGTGGATAAAAGGATGTAATTACAACAATGTTCATACAAAGAGTAATTACATATATATTAAAAATATTGATCTCGTGAAGTCCTTGTGCTACAGATATGACATATTCTGTTATTTTATGGATTGAATTAATACATTAGCCACAGTGTTTCTTTTTGAGAAAATCTCGATGCAATATCACGTTTGCATGTAAGCAAAGACAAGGACCAAAAGCAAAACCTAAATTTTTCATGGCCTCTATGCTAACCCTAGACCCTAACCCTCAAGCTGTTGCATGAGTCAATGAGAAATTGATCTTTCTTTCAAATCATCATTGAAATCTGAAATAAAAAGTCTTAATCATCTTGTTATGTTACAAGGTAGAACAATTGAGCTGGCCAGTACAGGACAGAGAGGGACTTAGTTAAGTTTGAGTGTGTGTAGGATAAATGAAAATGGAAAAACCCCTGTACATGTATACACTTTGAGCTGTGGCAAGATATAGTGTGTATTTTCTTGATCTATAACTTGTCTTGGTCACTGAGTATATATACCACTCAAATCAAATTTAATCCCCGTTTGATTAAGTAGTTCAAGTTTCAAAAGTTGGCTTCTTGCATGGTTAAGTGTAAGACCTGCAAAGTATCTACTTTGTGAATCTCCATGGTTCACAAATAGACCAAGCTTTGGACAAGGGCTGACATTCCTGAGCCATGCAGTGTTATATTGTATATGAAGAGGTCTGGTCAATGAAATTCTAACGCCAATACCAATACCAAGACCAATTTCCAATTCTGTTACCAAAATCTTAACTCTGAAGAGATGCTTCCAAAACCTCAATAGTTTGTACAACTTATGCTCTTTTGTTTTGCAGCTGTTTTTTTGTAGCTTTTTACGTTCTTTTAATAATTTAACCATTGTCATCAAATGGATGTAAATTTGTATATCCCTGCCCTCAAGCAAAAACTCAGCATTTATGCCTTGGTATTGAGAGCATGAGCACCGAGTTGGCATTTGAAGGTAATACCTCACAAGTTTACATTTACTGAATACACATGTCAGTTTCAGGCATCAGGCATCTTTCAGATTCACAATTTGCTTCAGAGGTGCGCACCAAATGAAAAAAATCCAGCTGACACTGCCCTCTTTTTTATTTGAGAATCAGTCACGCTTTGGCTATCAAAATTGCCTTGTACAATTGTTTCTTCACCCCAAAGTGGTTCCTTACATATAAATTTCTCAATGCACATATACATGAAGTGCTTTTCAAGTATGTGAATGCCACATTCATAATTACGGCATGATTTGATTCTACTTAAATAATGTGTGACCCATCCAGCTACTATATCCCCTGTTTTGCAATGATAACTCCTCAATGGTATTTTCCACTTGTCCCTTACACATCAATCCAAGTATGGTGCTCATCAAACCCACTCATCCGCAGCCAAGTTCTTACCCTCCTAATCAATTTCACAACACTTCCATATAAATTTTGTCCAATCATCACTTTGGATTTATTTAAACTTCGGTTTTGTATCATCTCTACACTCTGTTCTTATGTCATTTCTGATTACAAAGCTTACCCTTGTTCCCCTAATTGGACCTCTAACTATGTCTCAAATCATTCATAATGACACAATCACCCTTTCATCTTCTCTGGAATCTTTGAAATATTAGTCAAATATGTCCATACAATACATTCCCTTGTGTTTTATCAATTGTGATTGGATATCAGGCTACCATGACCTCAGACCAATCATTTCCATATCAATTAAGTTCAAACTTCTAACTTTATGCTGAAAAATGCTTAAAATACTTTTGGAAGCCTCTGATCTCTGTGTGAATTGAGTATATTGTCACAATGTGTGCTACACCACCTTTCAACCTCATTTGGATTTCATTGAACCTTGGATAGTTGTTACACAGTTCTTGGATTGACACGAAATGATGTGATGAGTTGAGCATGCAGAATCTATCCTGATGACTTATCCTAATTCATATCCTTGTTTGCCTGATCCTGACTTTCCCCTTCCAGCCACTTGGATCCTACGGATCAACTCTCTACTTATTGGATTTAGAGGCGGGCGAGCCCGCCTAAGCTCTAGTTTTGAGTATTTTCACGTAAAATCGAATTTCATTTTGAGGGTACAACTAATAGAGTTAGAGTTTAGCTTGGCTGAGCAAAGTTGTAGAGCGGAAGCAGAAATTTTTTTATGTCCATTCAGAACTTTGATACAGTCCCTATTTCTTTTCTTTTGTCAGGTTTCAAGGGTAAATTGGCGGATTGTTCAGTTTTTGTGGTAAACAGCTCAGTTTTAATGATAAATGTGTGCTTGAAAATTTGTGAATGATACATGTGGGCGCTTTGAAGATTTTTATCAATTTTAATTTGGGGGTTCATTGAGAGTTACGCTGTGAAAAAGGTGTATGAGGGTGAATTTCGAGTTTGAGGGGTGTTTTTGTCCTACTTTCTTTTTTTGTGTGTGTTTCAATTTTGATATAGTCGGGTGTGTCTTTTCCTCCCTTTGGGAGCCTTTTAGTTAGCAAAAATTATTATTAGAATTTAGAATAAAGCTTTGTATCTTTTTATTATTATTATCTGGGTGAACAACTAATGAGAGTTGGGATTTTATAATATTAGACCCTTTATTCACTTTTAATAATTTCTTGTTGAGTTGTAAGCTCATTTGCTCATTTGAAAGGTGCCTGAGTGCGCCTAGATAGTGCTACTTTTGATTTTATTGTCCTCTTTTAGCCTGGTTTTTATTAATCCAAAGACTTGAAGGTCTTAAATTTAATTCATTGATAATCACAGTCCCTGTTTGAGAAGGACATTTCTTTCCTGTTTGAAGTCTTTCAATTCACCATATCAAGACTTATTCCTCTTTAGATTGTGTGTGTTGTTGGTTGTGTCTTCATTCATCCCCTTCTTGGCTCTGCTTTCAGCTGTGTACTGAAAGAGTTCTACATCTGGTCCCTCAAATCAGGATCAAACCGATGACCCTGAGATTTACAGTCTCGTGCTCTTCCAACTGAGTCATATAGGGGTTCTTTTCGTTATTTCAAGCTTGTTTGTAGGATACCAATTTCGTGGTAGTACTTGGATATTGGTCTACTTCAAGGTTTTTATTATTTAGAAGTACTAGGATATTGGTCTTCTCAGTTTTTGAATTGTTGGTCTTCAAGATTCAAGATTTCAAATTCAAGTTATTAATTATTATTCTTAGTTGATTATTGCTCACTTTATCATCAATAATTTCGTGGTTATTGATTCATTCATTCATTAACTTCACTTATAGGTTTCATTTGATAGAAATACTTGGATATAGGTATTCTAGAATTGATTTGGGTACTCAAATTCAATTATTCACATCAAGTTTGATTTATTTGATTTCAAGTTTAATTATTCACTTCAAGAATTATCTTTCATTCAGAGTCTGATTCATTTTAAGATTCAGTTTGACATCAAGAATTATTTAAATCAAGTTTCAATTATTTACTTCAAGGTTCATCATTGAATTCAAGATTTATTTATTTTTTATTTGAAGTGTTATTATTAAAGATCAAGAATTTTATTTACTTCAAGTGGTTTATTTTACTTCAAGACCAAGAATCTTATTCATTTCAAGATTCATTTGACTTCAAGTTTTGTTTATTCACATCAAGATTTATCCTTAGTTTAAGTTTTATTTGATTCACTTCAAGACTTATTCACTTCAAGATTTTTTTATTTTACTTCAAGATTTATTCAGAGTCTGATTCATTTCGAGAATTTTTTTTATCATTTACTTCAAGTTCAAGATTTATTTTAGGTAATTACTTCAAGAATTATCTTCAAGACTTATTTTTTATTTTAAGAATTATTTGCTTTTTGACTTCAAGAATTTTTTATTTACATCAAGTATTATTTACTTCAAGAAATTTATTTACTTCAAGTTTTAATTGATTTTTATTTCAAGTTTCAAATTATTCAATTCAAGTTTTTAATTCACTTCAAGAATTATTATCAAACTCAAGTTGTTAATTTATTCAAGTTATCATCAAGAATTTTGTGAATCAATCATTCATTAACTGTTTAATTCATTGATTCATTTTGTTTAATTCAAATGGCTGACTTATTCAATAAAGAATGGGATAAGGAAGACATCAAGGCTAGCTCAAGTGGTTTTGATGTTTTGAATAAAGGAAAAGGAAAAGAATTAGCAAATTATCAGGTTGCTGAAGATAATATTGAAAGTTTGATGGATGGTTTAACTGAGAAAGAAGTCATTCAATTATTACAGAAATTCAAACAAGACAAGATGAAGGCTTCAAGAGATGAGAAAGTTCATAGAAGAGAATTAAGAAGTGAAGGTGTTTATCACAGTGACAATTCAGAAGATGATGGTGATGCTCAGCAAGTTCAAGATGATTTATTGGGCAAAGGTGTTGGAAATGAATTGCAAAGTGATGAAGAAGATCAAATTGATCAAGAATTCAAATCAAGAAAATTGAAGGATGAAATTGTTGAAAATGAAATTAAGAAGAAGTTGAAATCAAACAAGACAAGAAGAGTTGTTTATGAAGAAATCAGTAGTGAAGATGAAGATCAGAAGACAACAGTCAAGATTCAACCAGTTGATAAAAGTTTATCATTTAAATCAGGTGGTGATATGGAAAGGTTTTTGAGAGATTTTGAAGATGCTGCTTTGATTGATAATGCAAGTGATAGAGATAAATGTCTTCAAGTCAAGTTTTTTATTAAAGATGATGAAATGAAGACCATGATTGAAGCTATGGCAGGTTACAGGACTCAACAATGGAGGTTATTGAAGAATGAAATGAATGAATTATGGGGTGCGGATACTCAACCTTTGTATACAGATGAGGACTTGTATAAATTATGTGATGATTTGGCTAAAGCTGGAGGTATTTCAACAAATGATGCTTACGTCAAGTTTGAAAATAAATTCAAGACCATGTTAATTCATTTGGAGACTTCAGGTCAGATTGATTCTAGTGATTCAAGATCAATGGCAAGATACACTACACCAAATGACATCTTTTCCCCGGGGGTATAGAAAAGTAGTGCGTGCATAGAAAACCTTTTGTAGAGTACTTGTCTATACCCATAGAGATCAAGTCCACTATGCCCATACAAAACATTCCGTTCTATACCCACAGATAACAACATTTCTACAAGCATGTAAACTACATTTAAGCCTATACACAATGTTCTTCTCAAGCCTTCTTGAATGGGCCAACATGATCCATCAGGAATGATGTAAGTGCGTAAATGGTATCTGTCAATCTGTGTAAGATTGTTCATTCATGCTCACAAATGTTTCTGAGAATGTGTGAGAATATCTTGTATGAGCATAGAAATGTATTTTTGAATGAAAATGATAAAAATAGGAAATCAAGATGCTGTAACTTGTGGTGGCTCCCTTTGGGTCCCAATACATACAGCTGAGTCAGCTCAAAGACAATACTCAATTGCTCAATCTCAAATATTGTACATGATGTATCAAAAGATATTTATTATGGGTATAGAAAATTAATCTATGTATAGTTTTCTATGCCAGCACTACTTTTATATACCCCTGGGAAAAGATGTCATTTGGTGTAGTGATATTACTTCAAGGCTTTTTCATCTCATATTCAACATCAAATCAAGATCTGAATGGAATGTGAAGGTCAATTGAAGAAGGCTGGTCATCATTATAGAATGGTTCCTTTGAGTATGTTGGAAAATTATGTTAGTAGAGTAATGCAGATGCATATGGCTTTTGGAGATTTAACAAAGAATGAAGAAGAAAGATCTTCATTTAAGAAGGAAAATGTTGCTTCAGTGATGGCAAGGCTTCAGTGATGGCAAGTTTTAGGACTCAAAGACAAGCTTCATTGGGTATTTCAGGTGGTTCAGGTGGTACAAGTAATTTATTGGATCAATTGAAGAAGAAATTAGAAATGGTTGAGAAAGAAAATGAAAATTTGAAGAAAGGTGGTGCTACAGGTGGAAGAACTTATGGTACCAGTGGTAATGGCAATTCTACCCGTGGTAATTATGGTGGTAATAGAGAAAACAACTTTTCAAGAAATAATTATGGTAATAGGAATGAAAATGATGAATTTAAAAGAAATGAAGGTGGTAATAGGTCTGTTTATATGTGTTGGTATTGTGATAGAGAAGGTCATTCAATTCATGATTGCAGATATGTCAAGCAGGATGTGGATGATAATTTGGTGAAGTTTGATGGTAAATCTTTCTTTCTTCCTGATGGAGACAGAATTCCTTGGGATCAGAAGCCTTATAGAAAATTAGTAATTGAAAATTCAACAAAGGTTACTGAAAACAAAGTCAAAGTTGAAAGGGATGAAGATAAAGGAAAGGAAGCGGTTAAATCAAGCTGTGGAACTTTAAGTCAATGGAATATTCCTTCAATTTCAAGTCAAAAGGAGTTATTTTTGAATCAGATGCAGCAAGGAGGAAAGTGGATCCTTTAATCAAGAAGAGGACTTCACTGTGTTTTGCTAATTTAGATCAAGATAATCAAGATTAACTTAATCAATCAACTTCAAGAAATGATGAAGGAAGAAAGGAAGAAATCATTATTACTGATGAACAAGCTGAGGAATTTGGACGTGAGAATTCAGAGAGGTTTTCAACACCTGGTTGGGATGGAGTTGTGGAAAATTCAAGAGATTTACCTGCTTCAAGTACACCTCAAATTATTCCCAAGAAAATTTTAAAGAGAGGTACTAGAATTGAAGATTTAAGTACTGATTCAGATTTAGAAATTTTACCTGGAAGTTATCCAAATACTCCAGATCAAAGGCATAAGGTTTTGAGGGACATTTCAATTGAAGATGGAAGAACTTCAAGAAAGCCAACTTATATTTCACCTTTGAAGAATGTCAAGAAAGAAGAACCAAGATCAAAGTTACCTGGTATTGTTTCAAGTAAGAAGAATGGCACTTTGGAAGGTTTAATTGATAAGTGTAAAGAAATGAAGGCTCCTCAACTTACAATGGAGGAATTAATTAATTTAGTACCTGATTTAGTTGATGATTTGAAAGTTAAAGGTGGTAATGTTGGAAATGGTTTCAGTATGAGGGTTAATTTAAGTTCAAGTGGTAGTATTAGGCGTAGTAATGAAATTATTAAGGAAGAAGATATTGGTCATATGTTATGATCCGGGTTTCACAGAGCTGACATATAGTACATACATATCACAGACTTGTAGCCAGTATGTTGTACTCACCCACGTGGTACATATGTCCTTTTCTCTCCATCCGACAATCACAATACCAGATAGATAGGACCCACCTCTTCCCTCGTCCCAACCCCTGACCGTGACCATAACATATTGTCGGATCCTATCGACAAGCGACGAGGACTCCTAAGAAAACCAGAAGAAAAAGAACTTACATCAAAACCGAAAAGAACAAGACAGAAGATTTACAAGATTAGATCGGATTTACCAGATTAGATTAGAATTACAATTAATTGAAGTAACCTTAAAAAAGAGAACCTTACCGATTCACCATTGAAAGACAAACCTTATTTACATTCCAAAACCTTGATACCAACCTTCCCACTCTATCGTACAACGCCACAACGTCACCGACATTTAGTACCCAAAACTTCGACGAAGACGTCGATACTGGAAGTGAACCGGATCATTTGTTTGTAGACGTTGAATCCCTATCAAACCCCGACTCGGTCAACATGGAGGACATTCAACGACAATTGAATGAACTTACCAATGCGTTGAACCAAGAACAAACATTGCGCCGACAAGCCGAAGAGAGACTTGCTGAGAACATGCAAAACCAACAACCCGCGAACTCTGAACCGCCACAACCCATGCAGACAGCACCAAACCCTGCTGATACCGCTCCTCAGACCAAAGGTCCTAAAGTTGCAACCCCTGACAAGTTCCATGGGACTCGCGGCGTACCGGCTGAAGTCTTTGCCAGCCAAGTTCAATTTTATATCATGGCTCATCCGTATCAATTCCCGGATGATCGTAGCAAAGTCATCTTCGCGATGTCCTACCTCACTGGCACGGCAAGCAGTTGGGCACAACCTTTGACCAACGAGCTTTTTGATTCTGCTACATCCCATCTGGTCACGTTTGAGCGTTTTGTTGATAACTTTAAGGCCATGTATTTTGACACGGAAAAGAAGACGAAGGCAGAAAAAGCATTACGTAGTTTAAATCAGAAAGGCAGTGTAGCTACTTATACTCATGAATTTAATATGCACGCGTCTAACACAGGATGGGAAGTCCCAACTCTCATCAGTCAATTTGAGCAAGGTCTCAAGAAAGAAATCAGAGTTGCAATGGTATTGGTACAAGAACCGTTCACCTCTATTGAACAAATATCCAACCTTGCCATCAAAATCGAAAACAAATTACACGGAACAACTGACACAAGCACCAGCCATAGCTCCACTCCTGCAGACCCTAATGCTATGGACCTGTCTAGCACGTACACACGGTTAACTGACGAAGAACACGCTAAAAGATTAAGATCTGGATTATGCTTCAAGTGCAATCGCCACGGTCACATCTCTGCCGACTGCCCGGATAGAAAGAACACTTGCAACCCCATTCGCAACCCCACCAATTTCAGAGGCAGGAATGGTTATCAGAGTCGGATTGCCGAATTAGAGATTAAGATAGCTTCTTTGTGTAGTAAGAATGACGATCAGGAGGATAGAGGGGAGGGTACTAGTAGAGCAGATGCGTCGAAAAATGGCGGAGCTCGAGACTGATTGTTGTGCCAATCTCGAGCGAAGGGGAAGTTGAGGAATTGGTCGAGTTAGGTTCTAGTCAAATTGTAACATGCAATAACAATGATCCAAGATTATTTTACAGAACTGAACTCCACATGCCCCATACTTCCCGAGCCACAACCACCGCGCCTCTTAGCTCCCTACTCTTGATCGACTCAGGAGCCACACACAACGTGTTAGGTGAGTCCTTTGTGAACAAGACGGGACTCCTCCATTATGCCTTCGAAAGCAGCCGTGATATATCCGGCTTTGACGGTTCACCCAGTCGGTCATCACATGAAATCGACTTAATCATGCACAGCGACACATCACCTTCAAGATTCGTCATCACCAGAGTCAAAGACACCTATGACGGGATCCTTGGAATGCCCTGGATCCTTCGACACGGACACAAGATCGACTGGAAGAAGGGGACCTTTTCCCAGGACGAACTCACGATTGCCGTTGCGGCGGCAACGTCGTCAAGCCCGAAAACACTCTCACTTGGACCCACTTTGGAGCCCGTGAGGGACGCTAGGAGATTTGGCGAGGGGGTGTGTATCAGTAACGATACGTTAACACCCCCGCAATGTGTGTATAATTCTACCTTTTGTGATAACCACCCCGTTTCAGCTGGCAAGCCTGTTTACATCCTAGAAAACTTGAACAACCCCGAAACGAAGCTCCCAACGCTTAGCGATCCAGTGTCACCAGAGAGCCACATTGCAACTGCCCCAGCAGTGTCGTCAATCCCGGAAAACCTCTCACCTGGACAATTGGATCCCGTGAGGGACACTAGGGACTTTGACGAGGGGGTGTGTATTAGAAATGATACGCTAACACCCCCGCAATGTGAGCATGATATTTCCCCACTTTCACCGCGTAATCCAGAGCAAGCTGGCCAGCAGGATCCTCTCCTGAATAATGTAGATGTCGAGATCCACACAGCAAAAACTTCTTGGTCAACTTCAGCCAGATTAGCAGCCACAGGAAAGAAGGATGCCCCCCCCAAAATCAGTCGAGGAACTTGTACCGTCTCATTACCACCGACACCTGCATTTGTTTGTCAAGTCCAAAGCGCAAAGACTCCCACCAAGAAGGCGTTATGATTTCAAAGTCGAACTTGTCCCGGGCGCCCAACCACAGGCCAGTTGAGTGATACCACTGTCCCCGACAGAGAACGCAGCTTTGAGCGAGTTAATCAACAACGGACTGACCAATGGAACCCT